CACTGTTATTCCTGATGTATACAAGTAGGATATAACTGTCGGTAGTGCAGGCTATCACACACATCCCGTGATTTGTCTGGTGTACAGTCGGGGGTTGACACTGTTATTCCTGTTGTATACAAGTAGGATATAACTGTCGGTAGTGCAGGCTATCACACACATCCCGTGATTTGTCTGGTGTACAGTGGGGGGTTGACACTGTTATTCCTGTTGTATACAAGTAGGATATAACTGTCGGCAGTGCAGGCTATCACACACATCCCGTGATTTGTCTGGGGTACAGTGGGGGTTGACACTGTTATTCCTGTTGTATACAAGTAGGATATAACTGTCGGTAGTACAGGCTATACACACATCCCGTGATTTGTCTGGTGTACAGTTGGGGTTGACACTGTTATTCCTGTTGTATACAAGTAGGATATAACTGTCGGTAGTGCAGGCTATACATACACATCCCGTGATTTGTCTGGTGTGCATTGGGGGGTTGACACTGTTATTCCTGATGTATACAAGTAGGATATAACTGTCAGTACTGCAGGCTATCACACACATCCAGTGGTTTGTCTGGTGTACAGTTGGGTTTTGACACAGTTATTCCTGTTGTATACAAGTAGGATATAACTCTCAATAGTGCAGGCTATCACACACATCCCGTGATTTGTCTGGTGGTCCTTGTTGACACTGTTATTCCTGATGTATACAAGTAGGATATAACTGTCGGTAGTGCAGGCTATCACATACATCCCGTGATTTGTCTGGTGTACAGTTGGGTTTTGACACAGTTATTCCTGTTGTATACAAGTAGGATATAACTCTCAATAGTGCAGGCTATCACACACATCCCGTGATTTGTCTGGTGGTCCTTGTTGACACTGTTATTCCTGATGTATACAAGTAGGATATAACTGTCGGTAGTGCAGGCTATCACACACATCCCGTGATTTGTCTGGTGTACAGTCGGGGGTTGACACTGTTATTCCTGATGTATACAAGTAGGATATAACTGTCGGTAGTGCAGGCTATCACACACATCCCGTGATTTGTCTGGTGTACAGTCGGGGGTTGACACTGTTATTCCTGTTGTATACAAGTAGGATATAACTGTCGGTAGTGCAGGCTATCACACACATCCCGTGATTTGTCTGGTGTACAGTGGGGGGTTGACACTGTTATTCCTGATGTATACAAGTAGGATATAACTGTCGGTAGTGCAGGCTATCACTCACATCCCGTGATTTGTCTGGTGTACAGGGGGGGGGGGGGGGGGGGGGGGGGTTGACACTGTTATTCCTGTTGTATACAAGTAGGATATAACTGCCGGTAGTGCAGGCTATCACACACATCCCGTGATTTGTCTGGTGTACAGTGGGGGGTTGACACTGTTATTCCTGTTGTATACAAGTAGGATATAACTGCCGGTAGTGCAGGCTATCACACACATCCCGTGATTTGTCTGGTGTACAGTGGGGGGTTGACACTGTTATTCCTGTTGTATACAAGTAGGATATAACTGCCGGTAGTGCAGGCTATCACACACATCCCGTCATTTGTCTGGTGTACAGTGGGGTGTTGACACCGTCATTCCTGATGTATGCATTACAAGTAGGACTTTAATGTCGGTAGTGCAGGCTATCACACACATCCCGTGGTTCGTTTTACATCTGTCGGCTATCACGTCAATAATGAAGTCATTATTTGTGACTAAAATCATGTTGATAGCCGTAAATAACGATGTGTACAAACTCCTCGGCGATAACATCAGTCTGTATTAGTCTTTACAGAGTTGTGTCCCTTTGATTATCTTGGTCATGTTATGCAGCTGCCTTCCGTTCAGTGTTATTGATAAAAACTCTAATATAACATTGATGTTATTGTGTCAAGCTCTCGAACACCGATGGGTCGACCCCAGGGTGGTTTCGAATGTCTAGTGCGACCGTGGCACACTTAACCGGACTTACCTCCATTTTCATCTGGATGTGTCGTAAAGTTGTGTTGTCTCGAAATGATTTGTGGGCCCAAGAGTCAGTTCAGTTAAAAATCAGTTCAACTTACCCTGATAAGTCGAACTGGCAAATGTTTACAAATGCAACATAAGTCGAGGTTAAGCTTTCATGTGATGTGAAAAACGACAATGTTTGTATTCCTCAGTAGAGGCGTGATATGTAACATGCACGATAAGGTACGTCTGCTTTCTGTTGTCAATCGGTTGTATGGTCGAGTCGGATGTGTCGAATCCCGGATAATGCGAACTATTTATCTGCTCCCTGGAATTGGACACAACAGGTTTGACTGTAGTTACAGTTTAGTAGATCATTCAAAATGCCACAACCGCCAGTCACAAAACATATGCAAACAGTCTGTTTGTTGTTTAACGCCGAACTCAGCATTATTCCAACTATACACCTGGAACTTAATTAAGCGCCACCCATATTTATATCAATGAGTCAACCTTGTTGCAACCTACGGAAAAATTCTTTTTACATACGTGTGTCTAGTGTTGTTCACTGCTTAAAAGGGACACTAGACACTAATCACAGAGAAAACGTGAGTTTGAAGCATACTGATGAATTTTATTTTCAAATGGTGACATTTTAGAAAAATACGTAATTTGCACCAAAAAGAAAGTGAATATTACTATTGTCACACAGCGGTTACTGAAATGGTTGCATCAAATTTGAATCAGTGCAATCCTGGAACAATGTCTAAAGAAGCCCCAAACACAGTTTATGTCAATATTTGGTGTATCCTCCTTGTGCACGAGTGACGTCAGCCAAACGCTTCCTCATTCCCTGAATCAAAGTTGAACTTGACGTTGAGGTATTCTAGCCCACTCCTCATGCAAAGCAGCATCGAGTTCACGTAAATTTTGGACAGGTGGGTCTCTTTCTCGAACTTGACGGCCTAAAATGTCCCAAAGATGCTCTATGGGATTGAGATCAGGACTTCGTGCTGGCCAAGGAAATGTCTCAATCGCATTCTGACGTAAACATTCGCGGACAGCACGTGATCTGTGAGGTCGGGCGTTGTCATCCATGAATATCGGTCTTGTGGCCAATTGATGGTTATCAAAATGGGGAATAACTGCCGTCTCCAAGATGTAATGCTGATATCGAGGTCCGTTAAGAGTGCCATGTACACTGATCAAGTCCAGTTTACATGAGTAAGATACACAACCCCACACCATTACGGACCCACCACCAAAAGGAATGGTTTCAAGGATGTTTCGTTCGGCCATGGCTGTATTTGGCTACCTCCAGACACGTGTACGCCCGTCCACCATGTGCAAAAGGAACCGGCTTTCATCAGAAAAATGAACTCTCCTCCATGATCGAATGTTCCAGTTCTGACGTTGAGTTGACCACGCCAAACGAGCTCGTCTGTGTTCCTGTGTTAACAGTGGACGTTTGATTGGTCTTCTGGCTCTATACCCCGCTGCCTTCAAACGATTTCGGGCGGTTCTGGTTGAAATTACTCGGCAACCTAGCCACTGTGATCTTAAAACTGTAGCGTTGTCAAACGGACGTCGCCTAACAAGCCGTAATAACGCTGCATCTTCCCGCCTGGATGTCTTTCGAGGCTGACCTGGCCGTGGTCTATCCTTAACTTCATTTGTTGCACGGTATGTTTGCACTAATCTTGCAATTAGGGAATGGTGACGTCCAAGTTGCCGTCCAATATCCCCAAAAGACAATCCTGCATTATTCATTCCAATAACCTGCCATCTTAATGCTTCTGACAGTGTACGACGTGGCATGGTGGTGTTTGACAACGATCAGACAGTCTTTGTCAAGAAATGTGTACCTTTCAAGGTGTGCAAAGGTGAAAACCCATACTTGAGTTCAGAAAATTTAATGGTCTTGTGCTTCACGTGGAGTACATGCAACAGCAATCGCGTTGATCGTGGCATTGTCAGTGTGATGGTGTGGGGAAAGGGCCATATTGTCTAATTAATAATCGTTGTTTGCTTATTTTCGGTATTCATAATTCTGTGTCATATTTAGTTCGTTGGCGCTTAACTAAGTTCCAAGTGTATATATGAAGACGGTCTGTAAATGATCGAGTCTGGACTAGACAATCCAGTGATTAATATCATGAGCATCGATTCACGCAATTGGGATACGATGACATGCAGCAACCAAGTCAGCGAACCTGAGCACCCGATCCCCACCCCACCCCACCCATGTGGCTGTCCCCGATGTGATTGTGAAGCATGACTTTTATGGGCTACCGGATACTTACAGATTTCGCTCAATATCAAGGGATCAGTTCACTTCATTTCTAACACTGACCTTCGTATTTGTATGGACCTTTGTCGATGGTAATAAAAACATGACATCTGACATCAAAAGTACAATTTGCCTTTCGACCGAGTTCATGAAGTTGTGAGTGATATATATGCATTTGGAAAAACAGTTTTAATATATTTTTGTTTTGTTTGATTACTCTGCTATTTTGCAGGTATAGTTATTTGCCTCTCACGACGAGCTGATGGCAATCTATATTCTTACCCGGAATCCCCACTGGTCTAACAGTAAAGTTGTATCTTTAGTCTTTGGAGACAGGATTGAATTATATGGGTTTTAACCATTTATTGAAAGTTGGGCATGTGGATTTTAGAGATTTAAACAATTCCTATATATGCCCCTTCCGATAGTGCCATCTACATTGAATAACATCCTTTTATATCTGGCTTTACCTTCAAGAGAAAATTAATTTCATACTGTTCAACCGAATGACATTTCATTGTGAGATACCTGTTACAGGTCATTCCTCAATATGTGTAAACAGACATCTCTCTCAGGCTAATGCTACGAAAACATTGTGAGCTGTTTGTAAACAAACAAAAAATGCCCACAATGCCTACGTTATTTGGGGCGGTAGTGTAGCCTAGTGGTTAAAGCGTTCGTTAAAGATCAGGTTCGATTACTCAGATGGGTACAATGTGTGAAGCTTATTTCTGGTGTCCCCGGATGTGATATTGCTAAAAAAATTGTTAAAAGCAGCAGAACACCATACTCACTCACTCAAACGTTATTGAAAACAATTAATTGTTAAGTGAATTTCAATACTCATTAATAGAACCTTTACACTGATTTAATGAGGGCTACTGTCTATATATTCTATATCATCTATATATTCTATAATATGTATGTATTTATGTCTTGTCTGTTCAAAGCTACAAGATGTCAGGTGCGAGACCCAAATCTGGATTAGTCGACAACTGGCAGGCTGGGAAGACTGTCGCAGAGTGTAATCTGCGCATGCTCAACACGGGAGACTTAAGTGACGTCACATTCCGTGTGGGATCTGAGAAACAGGTGGTCCGAGCTCACCGCTACGTTCTCGTCAGTCGCAGCTGTGTCTTCAATGCCATGTTCTGTGGCCCCCTGGCGGAGACAGGGGAGGTAACCATCCCCGACATTGAGGCAGACATCTTCAAAGAGTTCTTGAGGTTAGATTAATCTAGCGGAAGATAAATTAATACACAAATTAAGATAACACCTTACTTATTCTTTATCTGCTTTCTGTTTTTGGTACGAGAAGCATCTGTATTTATGATTAATTAATTGCTATTCATGGATAAACAGAAAGCATTGGAAAACATTAAGCCTGCCTGTTCTGTTATATCTAAACAATACTCAATGACAAGCATAATATGTGATCGATTATACCTAGATAAAGAGTTATCTCCCTTTTCAGGTATCAGAATTGACACCCCTAGCTTTCTTTGGGCATGCAAATACTCAATATTTTACGTGGAGACCTACATATGTTTTTTTTCTAAATGTATGTTACTTGATTAATATAGTGTTTCTATTTTTGGTCCTTTTTTACAATACGTGTATGTAGTTAACAAACTTAAATAGTAATGAATACTACAAAGTAAGTTTAATTAGACTATTAGGTTAATGTGTTCCAAGGAGTCAGCTTAAGCAATTTTGTATTGTGATGTCATTTAAGGTCTACCCCACAATACGTGGGTGCCACCTCCAAGAAAATATAGCATGGAAAGGTTTGGGTTTTTTTATTCGGTACTAGTACACTATACACTCTCTTCATGTTACATCTCACAGCGTTGTAGTGGGTTTCACTTATTGTTTCCAACGTCTTTAAGGTTAGATCAATCTAGCGGTAGATTAATACACAAATTAAGATAACACCTTACATATTCTTTATCTGCTTTTATATCAATGTTTCGTAAATGCTCAGAAGATCATAAACTCACTTTTTAAAATTTTCCATGTCCTTTTTGTTACATGTTACTGTAGGTATGTGTACACAGACAAGGCCACTATCAACGCTGAAACAGTCACAGAACTAATGTACACCTCCAGGAAATATTCTCTGGATGCATTGTTCAATCTGTGTGTTACGTTCCTAGAACAGTCCCTGTCAGAAGACAATGTCTGTCAGATCCTGGAGGAGTGTCATGGTTACGGGGGGCTGGACGTGGAAAAGAAGGCCCTGGAGATTCTTACTCAAGGAGGGAAGGAAGTCATCCAATCTCCTGGCTTTGTGAAACTTTGCTCAGATTGTATGAATAAGTTTGTTAGGTCAGATGTTTTATATTTGAAAGAGGAAGACGTATTTGACGCAGTGCTGTCCTGGACAAAGGAAAGATGCCGGAAGGAAGGTGTGAGTGACACGCCTGAGAACATACGGAGACTCCTGGGAGATATGAGGTATGAGATCCGGTTTACCAGCATCCCCCTGGAGTATCTGGTGAAGGTTGTCGGCCCATCTGGTGTACTGACAGACAGTGAGAGAATGCGAATAACGGACGGAACCATCGACACAACTGTTGACATATCTCCATTCAAACATTCACAGAGAAATCCTATTGGTTGGAAACTGAAGGCATCCTGTAAACGAGTGGCTAGGTTTACGTTTAACGTATTTCTGTGTTCTAATTTGAGAAGTGGGATAAGAGCTATCTCCTTCTCACCTAGTCGGAGAATTTTCCTACTGGGGTGTCAGCTGTATGGTGGGTGGGATGGAGATGCAGAGTATACACTGACGATCAGAGTGTATGACGCCAATAACGTGGCGATTGATGAACCTTTCGTGAACACCAGGATGACACTTCAAGGCAGATACAAGCTGAATGACGTCCTGTTTCCCAGGTTTATTTCCCTCACAGCAGGTGCGACCTACACTCTGTGTGTGGACATGGAGGGACCTGAATCTTACTCAGGTGGGGGAGGAAAGGATACAGTAACTGTGGATGGGGTACAGTTCACATTTACAGACTCTCCAATGTCTACTAAAGACACATCAACACGAAAAGGACAGATACCTGGTTTGTTGTACAGTCTCCCGCCGCCATAGGCAGTACTGGTGTATCAGGTGTGTTTCGCTGACTGCTATGGCGATGATATAAGATAATTTGATATCAAGGAAACCAGATCATCTTCCATATGATCATATTAACAGGTTTAATCCCATTAAATTCCATCTGACTATCAGTGACATCTGGCTTAAACTCACTGGGGATGTGGACTACGTTATATCTGTGTAGTACAGGGAGTAAATCAACACTAAACCAATTCCCACCTATACAACATGGTTGTTTACACCTTTCAGAATACATGAGAGGACAAGGTGGTGATTGCTGATATTTGTTTCGAAATAAATATTCTTAAGATTTGTAGATATAACTCGTAGGTCTATTTGCCTTTGAGGCATCTTACATACTGACGTCAACAGCATAATGTATTGTGCGTGGTTGGACTGATGCCTGAAGCTGTAGTGCAAGTCTGTAATGACGTAATGAAGGGTGAAGGTCGTTTTGGTTACTCACCGTTTGTAGGGCACGTGAAAACATAAATGCACGTGTGCTTTGTTGTGTGTGTTGTTAATCATACTTCCCCTTGATATTGATCAGGACATTGCGGCTGAACTATGCTGTATCTAAGATGTGGTTTTGTATTCAGTGGACCCGTGAAGATCCAGGGTAGAATAGGTCTTCAGCAACACATGCTTGTCATAAGAGGCGACTAACGGTTACGGAAGGTCATGTCATTGTATCCCAATTACGGAATGATGCTCATGATATCAATCACTGGATTATGTGGTCCAGACCCGATTTATTACAGGCCGCCATCATATAGCTGTAATACCGCTAAGTGCGGCGTTAAACAAACAAAATTGTGTTCAGTGATAGATTACTTCTATTCTCTTAGACAACAAACACTCGGACTGGTTCGTTGAAAGTCGTAGTGTTCAATCTAGTGCAAGTGTGCTCAGTTTAACAACTACAGTCAATCCGATAAGCAATGTATATATTCCTCATGTAAAACATGAGTTGCAAAAGAGTTATTTATACCCAATGATCAATCATCCTTTTAATCAGCCCTCTGTTGCTATTCAAGACGAATGTGTACTTGTTTATTATAATCTCGTTAAGGTTGCCTATACAGTAAACTACGGTTATAGCCAACTCAAAGGGACCACAAATTCTAGTTCGTTATAACCTTAATTCGTTATAAGCATATATACAGCATATATACAGCAAATTGCAGGGACCTAAATACCAGTTCGTTATATCCGCCAATTCGTTATAAGCGTGTTCGTCATAACCGTAGTTTACTGTATATGCATGTACGTGCTCTCTGTATCATTACCATGTCACTTGCTTCATATCGGTGTCAAAGTCTACTGCCAGACATTGCTACAATTGTAATACAGAAGTTGGTCATCACGTTTACAGAATTTATATTAGGTTGTTCTTATGTCTTTATTGTTTTGTTTCTCAGATATTAGCTCAGTATAATAAAGCGCAGATTGCGACCAAAATATGTTCATCTGATGCATTAATGTGTTTGCCTAGCTACGCGATCTGCTAACATATTTAAAGTACATGGATAGTAGGATTTGTTGCGTACGTAAAAGATCTGGTACGTATAAAGGTACATGTAAAGTAAAGTCTGTGTTGCCTAGCTGCACGATCTGGTTCATGTTATGTAAAGTGCAAGGATCATCTAGCCTCTTTGCCTAGCTACACGATCTGGTAAAATATTTAAAGTACACGGATCGTAGGATTTGCTGCCTAGCTAGAAGTTCTGGTACATATAACGGTAATTGTAAAGTGCATGTGTTACCTAGCTACACGATCTGGTTCATGTTATGAAAAGTGCATAGATCATCTAGTCTGTGTTGCCTAGCTACACAATCCGGTGCATGTTATGTAACGTGCATGGATCATCTAGTCTGTGTTGCCTAGCTACACGATCTGGTCCATGTTATGTAAATTACATTCATCAGCTAGCCTGTGTTGCTTTGGTACACGGTCTGGTCCATGTTATGTAAAGTGCAAGGATCATCTAGTCTGTGTTGCCTACCTACTCGATCCGGTGCATGTTATGTAAAGTGCATGGATCATCTAAGCTGTGTCACCTAGCTATACGATCTGGTTCATGTTATGAAAAGTGCATAGATCATCTAGTCTGTGTTGCCTAGCTACACGATCTGGTTCATGTTATGTAACGAGCATGGATCATCTAGTCTGTGTTGCCTAGCTACACGATCTGGTCCATGTTATGTAAAGTACATTCATCATCTAGTCTGTGTTGCTTTGGTACACGGTCTAGTCCATGTTATGTAAAGTGCGAGGATCATCTTGTCTGTGTTGCCAAGCTACACGATCCGGTGCATGTTATGTAAAGTGCATGGATCATCTTGTCTGTGTTGCCTAGCTACACGATCCGGTGCATGTCATGTAAAGTGCATTGATCATCTAGTCTGTTGCCTAGCTACACGATCCGGTGCATGTTATGTAACGTGCATGGATCATCTAGTCTGTTTTGCCTAGCTACACAATCTGGTCCATGTTATGTAAAGTACATTGATCATCTAGTCTGTGTTGCTTTGCTACACGGTCTAGTCCATGTTATGTAAAGTGCAAGGATCAGCTAACCTGTGTTGCCCAGCTACACGATCCCGTGCATGTTATGTAAAGTGCAAGGATAATTAAGTCTGTGTTGCCTACCTACTCGATCCGGTGCATGTTATGTAAAGTGCATGGATCATCTAAGCTGTGTTACCTAGCTACACGATCTGGTTCATGTTATGAAAAGTGCATAGATCATCTAGTCTGTGTTGCCTAGCTACACGATCTGGTCCATGTTATGTAAAGTACATTCATCATCTAGTCTGTGTTGCTTTGGTACACGGTCTAGTCCATGTTATGTAAAGTCCAAGGATCAGCTAACCTGTGTTGCCCAGCTACACGATCCCGTGCATGTTATGTAAAGTGCGAGGATCATCTAGTCTGTGTTGCCTACCTACTCGATCCGGTGCATGTTATGTAAAGTGCATGGATCAGCTAGCCTGTGTTGCCCAGCTACACGATCCCGTGCATGTTATGTAAAGTGCAAGGATCATCTAGTGTTGCCTAGCTACGCGCTCTGGTCCATGTTATGTACAGTACATGGTGAACTAGTTTGTGTTGCCTAGCTACACGATCCGGTGCATGTTATGTAAAGTGCAAGGATCATCCATTCTCTGTTGCCTAGCTACACGATCTGGTGCAAGGTTTGTAACGTACATGATTCATCTAGCAGCTGTAGACGAGGGATTGAATGGTAACAATGAATGTAATGTGTAAATAGTGTCGACACTATAAGCCAACAGTGACCCGTGCTGTCACCAGGACAGACTCAATATGGATCGGGTGGTCATAATTGATGTTTAAATGGCGTCGACAGCATATGCACCGAGTGATCCATGCTTGTCACCAGGACAGACTCCAATGGGGATCGGGTGGCCACAATGAAAGTTTAAAGGGCGTCGACAGCAAACGCCCACAGTGACCCATGGTCGTCACCAGGACAGACTCTAATAGGGATCGAGTGGCCACAACGGACGTTTACATGGTGTCGACAGTATGCTCCCACAGTGACCCATGCTTGTCACCAGGACAGACTCCATTAGGGATCGGGTGGCCACAATGAAAGTTTAAATTGTGTCGACATCTTGCTCCCACAGTGACCCGTGCTCATCACCAGGGCAAACTCTAATAGGGATCGGGTGGCCACAATGAAAGTTTAAAGGGCGTCGACAGCAAGCGCCCACAGTGACCCATGGTCGTCACCAGGACAGACTCTAATAGGGATCGAGTGGCCACAACGGACGTTTACATGGTGTCGACAGTATGCTCCCACAGTGACCCATGCTTGTCACCAGGACAGACTCCATTAGGGATCGGGTGGTCATTTTAACGTCCATTATGTTTAAATGGTGCTTGACTTTCTGACCACTAGGAAGTGTCTGTAGTAACCTTGGTAACAGTGGGTGAGTGAGTCGGTGATTGTAGCCTTATCTTGGCGATGAACACATAAGGGGCCAATATTAATGTGAAGGACAGTGTGTTGCGTAGAGGAAGCGTTGACATTAAGTGGGAGGATGAATTTTGAAAATTGACTTCTCCTATCCCGTCATCCATCATCTTTGACTTCGAATTGGGTTTATAGTCTAAAACCGTTTAACAACCTGATAACTGTTTATAATATATTACAATTGTATACCGCTGTTCGCGTACACAGAGCACCATCCTCCATATTGCACCACTAAAGCTGAATATAAAACAAAACAAAATCATAACAGAGAATATAATAAGCCGAGAGTACAAAGTGTACAAAGAAAGGATGTGAGTCATTGTACCCCTGTGGGGGATCGAACCCAGATATTTTGCAAGGACAATGAATACTGTAGCTCAAAGGCTTCGTGACCCTACAGCCGTATCGGGAGATAGAGCATGACAAGAGTTGTCCCCTGTTATCATCACATGATACGCCCATATACAGATAGTGAATTACAGGTGACATCGATCACACACCTCTTTCGCGTTCGCCGTTTTCCAAGGTGTTCCAAGGTGTTCCAAGGTAAGATATTAACTGTTCGAATGTAACTACGGTGTATTTCATGTGCAGTGGGTAACATAGACCTAGCCTCTCCATGTTGAACTCGAGCTATCTCCTCTTTTGACCACTGTCCATGAGAAGCTACACAGCCCACTTCTACACAATAACCTGCATAGCCACTGTCACTGGCATTGGAATAAACTACTTTCTTGGTACATGCTGTCTGAACAAGTGATCTAGATGTTTTCTGCTTTACCTTGTCTGACCAGTACAGTATCATACTCATATCTGACAGCACTATCTTGTTGATCCATGAACCTGACATACCAGTGTCCATACTAAAGGATCTTATTAGTTGTATTTTAGGCCCCGGCACTAATTTCATGGAAATTATTTGACCAACAACAGAAACCACATATCTAACATGTATGCGCCTAAATATAACAGGTGAAGTATGGCTTCTCCAACCTAATATACCGTTCTTGTAGGTACAATAACTGTCATGGAAGTTGTGTCCAGCCAAAAACCTAGCGACTCCACTGTGACGAAATCTATGGTGACTTTTCTACCATTGGAACAAAACCCGGTAATAACAACCTGACGAACATGTCTCATCTTTTGAAGCTCCAGCCAAAATATGGTCTTTCAAAAAAGTAACTATCCCAAACAAAAGTCCCTGTGAGATGAGTAGATATGTGTATAATGATATGCAAGATGAATATCAAACTTTTAGGACATTCACCATGATTGCTATAACACAACGCTGTTTTTCAAAGTTTATCTGCTGGCCAAGTTGTAAGTAACTTTTGAGACGACCTTTTACAATTGTTTCCGATCTACCTTGCTCGTACTCATAGTAGTCATCAGTTAGCGTAGTCACATTGATTGTACTATACTCAACTGACAGATCTTGACATGGCCTATTGGCCGACTCGACTTGAGCCCCAAATTCCACTCACTGAGATTCCCCGAGGGGCTGTGCAGTTGACACATGGACATGTCCATCTAAAATGTGTGAATCCCCCATATGCAAAATATGTTCCTGACCTTTGCCCTTTCCCACAAAAAACCTGACCTGTGGCTGGATGAATATGCTGCACAGGAGCAGTAAGATCAGCAAATTGCTTGGATCGCTGATCCGCGAGATGACCTACCAGTCGTGTAGAGGGCGTGTTGTGTACACTTCTGACGCAGCTTGCACTGGCAATGCGTTATCATACTCTGAAGCATCAGCTTTATTGTTAGATAACTATGTTTCTGATATATCAAGGGGTTGACACTGTTATTCCTGTTGTATACAAGTAGGATATAACTGTCGGTAGTGCAGGCTATCGCACACATTGAAGCACATCTGTCGGCTGTCACGTCAATAATGAAGTCACTATTTGAGACTTAAATCATGTTGATAGGCGTAATTAACGATGTGTACAAACTCCTAGGCGATAACATCAATCTGTATTTTTCTTTACAGAGTTGTGTCCCTTTGATTATATTGGTCATGTTATGCAGCTGCCTTCCGTTCAGTGTTATTGATAGAAACTCTGATATAACATTGATTTTATTGAGTTAAGCTCTCGAACTCCGATGTGTCGAATCCAGGGTGGTGTCGAATGTACAGTCCGGTCGTGGCAAACTCAACCGGACTTACCTCCATTTTCATCTGGATATGTCTATAGTTGTGTGGTCTCAAAATAATGTGTGGGCCCAAGAGTTAAACGTCAGTTCGACTTACCCTGATACTCTGACCAATATTTACAAGCGCAACCTAAGTCTTGGTTGAATTTGCTTGTGAATGCATAAATGTGGATGTGAAAAACGATTATGTTTGTGTTCCTCACTACAGACTTGATATGTACCTTCATGTAACATGCACGGTATGCTACGTGTCTGCTTTAGGTTGTGTGGCCCGGTCGGGTGTGTCGAATCCTGGATAATACAAACTATTTATCTCCTCCCCGGAATTGGACATAAGAGGTTTGACTGTAGTTACAGGTTGGTAGATCATTCAAAATGCCACAACCGCCAGTCAAACTAGGGTTGTCTGTTTGCTTGTTGTTTAACGCCGCACTCAGCATTATTCCAAATATGTTAAGGCGGTCTGTAAATGAACGAGTCTGGACCTGACAATCCAGTGTTTAATATGATGAGCATCGATTCACGCAATTTGGATACGATGACATGCTGGAACAAAGTCAGCGAACCTGACCACCCGATCCCATCAGTCGCCTCTTATGACAAGCGTGGGGTGCTGAAGACGTATTCTATCCCCGATCTTCACGGGTAAGGAATGGCTGTAAGGTTTGTTGTCATGTGGTTCTCCCCGATGTGATTGTGAAGCATGACTTTTATGGGCTACCGGATACTTGCAGATTTCAATCAATATCAAGGGGTCATTTCACCTCATATCTAACATTGACCTTCGTATTTGTATGGACCTTTGTCGATGGTAATTAAATCATGACATCTAACCTGAAAAGTTCAATTTGCCTTTCGACCGAGTTCATGAAGTTGTGAGTGATATATATGCATTTTGTTTTGTTTTTGTTTGATTACTCGGCTATATTGCAGCTATAGTTTGTTGCCTCTCACGACGAGCTGGTGGCAATCTCTATTTTTACCCGGAATCCCCACTGGTCTAAAAGTAAAGTTGTATCTTTAATCTTTGGAGGGCTGAGTTATATGGGTTTTAACCATTTATTCTAAGCTGGGCATGTGGATTTGAGAGATTTGATAAACATGTTATCTTGGCTGTACAATTCCTATATATGCCCCTTCCGATAGTGCCATCTACTTTGAATAACATCCTTTTATATCTGGCTTTACCTTCAAGAGAGATTAATTTCATACTGTTCAACCGAATGACATTTCATTGTGAGATACCTAATACAGGTCATACCTCAGTATGTGTAAACACATCACTCTCAGGCTAATGCTACGAAAACAATGTGAGCTATTTGTAAAGAAACAACTTTTGCCCTTAAATGCCTATGTTATTTGGGGCGGTGGTGTAGCCTAGTGACTCGTTGGTCACGCCGAAGATCAGGTTTTCGATTACTCAGATGGGTACAATGTGTGAAGCTTATTTCTGGTGTTACCCTGTCTGGCGCTCGGCATTAAGGGGCTAAAACAAGGACTGGTCGGCTCAGAGTCAATATACTGTGTCTGAGTGGGGTATTCATGTTAAACTGCGGCATGGTATCTCAGTGAGCTAGCACTATAAATCGGCATCAGTCCGGACTAGTACAAGCAGCCACACAAACACACACACGTACATGGACGTCGCTATATAAGTGCAATACTCTTGGACGCGACGTTAAACCAAACTTCACCTCACCTCACCTATAATATGTATGTATTTATGTCTTGTCTGTTCAAAGCTACAAGATGTCAGGTGCGAGCCCCAAATCTGGATTAGTCGACAACTGGCAGGCTGGGAAGACTGTCACAGAGTGTAATCTGCGCATGCTCAACACGGAAGACTTAAGTGACGTCACCTTCCGTGTAGGATCAGAGAAACGGGTGGTCCGAGCTCACCGCTACGTTCTTGTCAGTCGCAGCTGTGTCTTCCATGCCATGTTCTGTGGCCCCCTGGCGGAGAAAGGGGAGGTAACCATCCCCGACATTGAGGCAGACATCTTCAAAGAGTTCTTAAGGTGAGATTAATCTAGCGGTTTTACAAATCATCCATTACCAAGAGAAAATTGCACCTTCCGTAATGTATGCTGATTTTATACCTTCTTCTAAATAACTATTTACATGAGTAATTGCTCTTTTGATACCCGAGCCACATTAAATATGTTGCTATTCTCCCTCCAGTGTTTCTATTTTTTGTCCTTTTTTTTACAATACTTGTATGTAGTTAACAAACTTAAATAGTAATAAATACCACAAAGTAAGTTTAATTAGACTATTAGGTTAATGTTTTCCAAGGAGTAAGCTTAAGCAATTTTTTATAGTGATGGTAAATCATGTCATTTGAGGTCTACCCCACTATACGTGGGTGCCACCTACAACAAAATATAGCATGGAAAGGTATTTGTTTTTTTACTCGGTACAAGTACACTATACACACTCTTCATGTTACATCTCACAGCGTTGTAGTTGGTTTCACTTATTGTGTCCAACGTCTTTTAAGGGGAGATTTATCTAGCGGTAGATAAATTAATACACAAATTAAGATAAAACCTTACGTATTCTTTATCTGCTTTTATATCAATGTTTCGAAAATGCTCAGAACACAAACTCGTTTTTTTAATTTTTCCTGTCCTTTTTTCTTACATGTTACTGTAGGTATGTGTACACAGACAAGGCCACTATCGACGCTGAAACAGTCACAGGACTAAAATACACCTCCAAGAAATATTCTCTGGATGCATTGTATAATCTGTGTGAAACGTTCATTGAAGAGTCCCTGTCAGAAGACAATGTCTGTCACATCCTGGAGGAGTGTCATGGTTACGGGGAGCTGGACGTGGAACAGAAGGCCCTGGAGATTCTTACTAAAGGCGGGAAGGAAGTCATCCAATCTCCCGGCTTTGTGAAACTTTGCTCTGATTGTATGAATAAGTTTGTCAGGTCAGATGTTTTATATTTGAAAGAAGAAGACGTATTTGACGCAGTGCTGTCCTGGACAAAGGAAAGATGCCGTGAGGAAGGTGTGAGTGACACACCCGAGAACATACGGAGACTATTTGGAGTTATGAGATATGAGATCCGGTTTACCAGCATCCCCCTGGAGTATCTGGTGAAGGTTGTCGGCCGATCTGGGGTGGTGACAAAGGATGAGAGAAAGCGAATAATTGAGAGAACTGTTGACACAACTGTTGACATATCTCCATTTAAACATTCACAGAGAAATACTATTGGTTGGAAACACAAGGCATCCTGTAAAAAAGTGGCTACGCTTAAGCCTTACCGTAATCGTAGTTTGAGAAGTGGGATACGTGCTATCTCCTTCTCACCTAGTCGGAGCATTCTCCTACTGGGGTGTCAGCTGTATGGTGGACAGAGGAGAGATGCAGAGTATACACTAACAATAAGAGTGTATGGCGCAAATAATGAGGTGATTGATGAACCGTTCGTGAACACAAAGATGTCGCTTCAAGGCGGGGGCCAGCTGAAGGTGCTTGAAGGCGGGGGACGGATGAATGAGGTCCTGTTTCCCAGGTTTATTTCCCTCACAGCAGGTGCGACCTACACTCTGTGTGTTGACATGGAGGGACCTGACACTGTCTGTGGAGAGACAGGAAAGGATGCAGTAACAGTAGATGGAGTACATTTCACATTTACAGACTCTCCAGTGTCTACTACAGGCACATCAACACGGAACGGACAGATACCTGGTTTGTCGTACTGTCTCCCGCCGCCATAGGCAGTACTGGTGTATCAGGTGTGTTTCGCCGACTGCTATGGCGATGATATATGATAATTTTATATCAAGCAAACCAGATCATCTTCAATATGATCATTAATTCCATTAAATTCCATCTGACTATCAGTGACATCTGGCTTGAACTCACTGGTGATAACAACTATGTTATATCTGTGTAGTACAGGGAGTTAATCAACACTAAAACAATTCCCACCTATACAACATTGTTCTTTGCACCTTTCAGAATACATGAGAGGACAAGGAGGTGATTGCTGATATTTGTTTCGAAATAAATGTTCTTAAGATTTGTAGATATAACCCGTATGTCCCAAACTATTTGCCTTTTGAGGCATCTTACATACTGACGTCAACAGCATAATGTATTGTGAGTGGTTGGATTGATGCCTGAAGCTGTAGTGCAAGTCTGTAGTGACGTAATGAAGGGTGAAGGTCGTTTTAGTTACTCACCGTTTGTAGGGCACGTGAAAACACAAATGCACGTGTGCTTTGTTGTGTGTTTTGTTAATCATACTTCCCCTTGATATTGATCACGACATTGCGGCTGAACTATGCTGTATCTAAGATGTGGTTTTGTATTCAGTGGACCCGTGAAGATCCAGGGTAGAATAGGTCTTCAGCCACACATGCTTGTCGTAAGAGGCGACTAACGATTTCGGAAGGTCATGTCATTGTATCCCAATTTCGGAATGATGCTCATGATATCAATCACTGGATTGTCTGGTCCAGACCCGATTATTTACAGACCACTTTCATATAGCTGTAATACCGCTAAGTGCGGCGTTAAACAAAAAAAATGTGTTGAGTGATAGATTACTTCTATTCTCTTTGACAACAAACACTGGGACTGGTTCGTTGAAAGTCGTAGTGTTAAATCTATTGCAAGTGTGCTCAGTTTAACAACTACTGTCAATCCGATAAGCAATGTGTATATTCCTTACGTAAAACATGAGTTGCAAAAGACTAATTTATACCTAATGATCAATCACCCTTTAAATCAACACTCTGTTGCTATTCAAGACGAATGTGTACTTGTTTGTTATAATCTCGTTAATGTTGCCTATACAGTAAACTACGGTTATAGCGAACTCAAAGGGACCACAAATTCTAGTTCGTTATAACCTTAATTCGTTATAAGCATATATACAGCAAATGGCAGGGACCTGAAACCCAATTCATTATATCCGCCAGTTCGTTATAAGCGTGTTCGTTATAACCGTAGTTTACTGTATATGCATGTATGTGCTCTCTTTATTATTACCATGTCACTTGCTTCATATCGGTGTCAAAGTCTACTGCGAGACATTGCTACGATTGTAATACAGAAGTTGGTCATCACTTTTACAGAATTGATATGAGTTTGTTCTTATGTCTTTATTGTTTTGTTTCTCAGATATTAGCTCAGTTCAATAAAGCGCAGATTGCGACCAAAATATGTTCATCTGATGCATTAATGTGTTTGCCCAGCTACACGATCTGCTGCATCTTGTGCAAAGTCCGTCTCTTATCTAGCCATCATTGCCTAGCTACCAGATCTGGTAACATATTTAAAGTACATGGATAGTAGGATTTGTTGCCTAGCTAGAAGATCTGGTACGTATAAACGTACATGTAAAGTGCAAAGATCATCTAGTCTGTGTTGCCTATCTACACGATCTAATGCATGTTATGTAAAGTGCAAAGATCATCTAGTCTGTATTGCCTAGCTACACGATCTGGTTCATGTTATGTAAAGTGCATAGATCATCTAGTCTGTATTGCCTAGCTACACGATGTGGTCCATGTTATGTAAAGTACATTGATCATCTAGTCTGTGTTGCCTAGCTACCCGATCCGGTGCATATTATGTAAATTACATTGATCATCTAGTCTGTGTTGCCTAGCTACACGATCCGGTGCATGTTATGTAAAGTGCATTGATCATCAAGTCTGTGTTGCCTAGCTACACGATCTGGTTCATGTTATGTAAAGTGCAACGATCATCTAGTCTGTGTTGCCTAGCTACACGATCTGGTTCATGTTATGTAAAGTGCAAGGATCATCTAGTCTGTGTTGCCTAGCTACACCATCTGGGTCATGTTATGTAAAGTGCATGGATCATCTAGTCTTTGTTCCTCAGCTACACGATCTGGTTCATGTTATATAATGTGCATGGATCAGCTAGCCTGTGTTGCCTAGCTACACGATCCGGTGCATGTTATGTAAAGTGCAAGGATCATCTAGTCTGTGTTGCCTAGCTACACGATCCGGTGCATGTTATGAAAAGTGCAAGGATCATCTAGTCTGTGTTGCCTAGCTACACGATCCGGTGCATGTTATGTAAAGTGCATGGAGAACTAGTCTGTGTTGCCTAGCTACACGATCCGGTGCATGGTATGTAAAGTGAAAGGATCAGCTAGTCTGTGTTGTCTACCTACACGATCCGGTGCATGGTATGTAAAGTGCAAGGATCATCTAGTCTGTGTTGCCTAGCTACACGATCTGGTGCTAGGTTTGTAATTTACATGATTCATCAAGCAGCTGTAGACTAGGGATTGAATGGTAACAATGAATGTAATGTGTAAATAGCGTCGACACCAGGACAGACTCAATATGGATTGGGTGGTCATAATTGATGTTTAAATGGCGTCGACAGCATATGCACCCAGTGATCCATGCATGTCACCAGGACAGACTCCAATGGGGATCGGGTGGCCACAATGAAAGTTTAAATTGTGTCGACAGCATGCTCCCCCAGTGACCCATGCTCGTCACCAGGACAGACTCCAATAGGGATCGGGTGGCCACAATGAAAGTTTAAATTGTGTCGACATCATGCTCCCACAGTGACCCATGCTCATCACCAGGACAAACTCTAATAGGGATCGAGTGGCCACAACGGACGTTTAAATGGTGTCGAAAGGGTGCTCCCACAGTGACCCATGCTCATCACACACCCCCCCCCCCCAGCTAGACTCTAATAGGGATCGGGTGGCCACAATGAAAGTTTAAATGGCGTCGACAGCATGCTCCCACAGTGACCCGTGTTCATCACCAGGGCAGACTCTAATAAGGATCGGGTGGTCACAATGGACGTTTACATGGTGTCGACAGTATGCTCCCACAGTGACCAATGCTTGTCACCAGGACAGACTCCAATAGGGATCGGGTGGCCACAATGAAAGTTTAAATGCTGTCGACAGCATGCGCCCACAGTGACCCATGCTTGTCACCAGGACAGACAGACTCCAGTAGGGATCGGGTGGCCACAATGAAAGTTTAAATGCTGTCGACAGCATACGCACACAGTGATCCATGCTTGTCACCAGGACAGACTCAATAGGGATCGGGTTGTCATTTTAACATCCATTATATTTAAATGGTGCTTGACTTTCTGGCCACTGGGAAGTGTCTGTAGTAGCCTTGGTAACCCTGGGTGAGTGAGTCGGTGGTTGTAGCCTTATCTTGGCAATGAACTCATAAGGGGCCAATATTAATGTGAAGGACAGTGTGTTGCGTAGAGGAAGCGTTGACATTAAGTGGGAGGATGAATTTTGAAAATTGACTTCTCCTATCCCGTCATCCATCATCTTTGACTTCGAATTGGGTTTATAGTCTAAAACAATTTAACACCCCGATACCTGTTTATAATATATTACAATTGCATACCGCTGTTCGCGTACACAGAGCGCCATCCTCCATATTGCACTACTAAAGCCTAAACATAAACAAAAGAAATACAGAACAGAAAATATAATAAGCCGAGAGAACAAAGTGTACAAAAAAAGGATGTGACACATTGGACCCATGTTGGGGATCGAACCCACATATTTGGCAAGGACAACGAATACTGTAACTCAAAGGCTTCGTGACCCTACAGCCGTATCGGGAGATAGAGCATGACAAGAGTTGTCCCTCGTTATCATCACATGATACTCGCATCAGCGGATAGTGAATGCGGAAGTTGTTTAACTAGAATTACAGGTGACATCGAACACACCCCATTTCGCGCTTGCCGTCTTCCAAGCTCTCGTTATCAGGTAAAATCTTACTGTTCAAAGATAACTACTATGTGTTTCATGTACCGTGGGTAACAGGGACCTGGCTGCAGCCTTTGGTGTCTACATTGCAGGTGAGGTGAAATGGGGTTTAACGTCGCGTCCAAGATTTTTTCATTTATATAGCGACGTGCATGTACGTGTGTGTGTGTGTGGCTGCGTGTACTAGTCCGGACTGATGCCGATTTAGAATGCTAGCTCACTGAGATACCATGCCGCACTTTAGCATGAATACCCCACTCAGACACAGTATACTGACCTCCGAGCCGACCAGTCCTTGTTTTAGTCCCTTAATGCCGAGCGCCAGACAGGGTAACAACAAGTTTTAACGTCTTTTGGAATGACGCGGTCGGGAATCGAACCCGGACCTTCCGCTCTCCGGGCGGACGCTCTACCACTAGACCACGGAGGCGGTCCATTGCATAACGGTTGAGGTGTACAATCAAGCATGCTCTTTCTCCGACGATTTCAAAGAGCGTCATATTTAATAGTGATATAATCAAGCTTTTGGCCAAGTGGTGTGTACTGACAAGTCGAGATGCTAGACTTTTATAGTAATCGCCTTCGTATGTTTTGACATTGAGGGATTCAAGATTCAAGATTCAAGATTCTTTATTCAGCATTTTGGGCCATGTGGCCTAGAGTACAATTACAATAATTGCTGCGTCACGTGATGTCAGGAAAATAAATACAAGTAGTCTTATTTCACATTAAATACCTGATTTAAGTATAAGGCCAAAGCCTTTACAATGTCGATATTTTTGGAGTTGAGTAGATTACATAAACTGTGATTATCATGATGGACATTGGATAACCAAGGCAAATAGTGGTTTCTGACAGGAGAATATTTTGAACATATAAACAAAACATGAAATTCATCCTCTAATTGCCCATTGAGTGATTCCTCAGTCAGTGAATTGTGCATTGTCTTAATCTAAATTTTATCAGACGATACGTCACTAGGTTGGTTGGTTGGTTGTTTAACGCCGCACTCAGCAATATTCCAGCTATATGACGGCGGTCTGTAAATAATCGAGTCTGGACCAGACAATCCAGTGATTAATATCATGAGCATCGATCCACGCAATTGGGATCGATGACATGCATCAACCAAGTCAGCGAGCCTGACCACCCGATCCCGTAAGTCGCCTTTTACGACAAGCGTAGTCACCTTTTACGGCAAGCATGGGTTGCTGAAGACCACTGGTATAGTAATTCATAAACGCATGTTGATGATATAGTCGGAATCGTACAATGGGCTCTGCTAGAAGCAGAGACTTCTTATGATTATGGAAATAGGGTTATGTCGCTTGTAGTTGTAGTGTACAAAGAGTTGGAGTGTGGGGCATGTTGGGAAATGATGATACAGGCATGGATGACCCGTGACAGGAAGGTGATGGATCCAACATTGGAAACAGATAATGAAGAACATCGTATGGCTTCTTGTGTACCGTAAGTAATTGTATTCTATGTTGTTTCAAGCAAACATCCTCAATACTTGTGTTTTACGACACTCTGAACACTATTCTCCCCCGCAACGAAGTGGAATGGGGATATTGGAATGGGTCCGTCCGTCACGGTTCTTTTCCGGAGCAGAACTAAAAATAAATTAGAGATATCTGAACCAAACTTGGCACATTGATAGGTCTAGTGGTGAACTGGTGCCTTTTGAATTTAAAAACATATTTTCGAGTTTCCATAGGAACGACTTTGACCTAGACCGAAAATGGCGGTAGTGCTCGTTTCCGGAGCAGATCTTGAAAAACGTACAGTATTTCTTGACTTGCAGACATGTCATGTTTGTGGGGGATATGAGTATTTAATGCATATTTCGGTGACAACACGTGGTGGCACTTTAACATACACGGTGAACACGATGGTGGAGCCTACGAGGCGTGTTGACCACGGCTAATAATCAGCATGAATCTCGGATTTTCACCGACGATCAGCGGATCCTGACACTACTAATGGACGAAACGCGGATCCTCCAGGTGTCTAGCTCAGCAGAATGCACAGAGACACCCTTCTTGTTTATCAAAACAGTGATATAAAGTCATTTCGATTTTTAAAAAATACTTGACAGTTACTTTAATAAAAGCTTAATTTAATGTTTTCTATTGTGGCTAGTGAACAAGCTTAAGTTACCTGAGTGAGTGAGTATGGTTTTACGGCACTTTTTGCAATATTCCAGCAATACCACGGCGGGGGACACCAGGAATGGGCCTCACACATTGTAACTAAGTCAGGAATCAAACCCGGGTCTTCAGCGTGACGAACGAACACATTAACAACTAGGCTAAATACTGAATAAAGTTGGCTGTAAATTTGGTGAAATGTGTGTTGGGGTTTGGATCGTGAAGTATGACACTCATGACTTATTGGTCAGTAAATAAAACTATATACCTTCTATATGTCTCCACCAACACAGCAAGCTGAATATTTTTATTAACTGACCAATGACGATTTTCTATGGACTTTACACAATCGATAAAGATCTAAAATAATTTGTTTGCATTGCTCTAATAAGAGCCATTGTCCATATTCTCAATTATCTATTTATTCTTGTGTTTTCTGTTCAAAGCTACATGATGTCCAATGAGAGCCAGGAATCTGGATATGTGGACAACTGGCAGTCAGGGAAGACTGTCACAGAGTGTAATCTGCGCATGCTCAACACGGAAGACTTAAGTGACGTCACATTCCGTGTAGGATCAGAGGTGGTCCGAGCACACCGCTACGTTCTTGTCAGTCGCAGCTGTGTCTTCCATGCCATGTTCTGTGGCCCCCTGGCGGAGACAGGGGAGGTAACCATCCCTGACATTGAGGCAGACATCTTCAAAGAGTTCTTGAGGTTAGATTCATCCACCAGTTTCGTATATTAGTCTATTCACCAATGAAAATAACACATTATGTACTCTGGTTCTGATGACATATTATTTTCGGAGATGCTAGGAGGACAAAAAGCCATTGTTTGAACTATATGGATTCGTACTTTAAGAGTGTCAAGACATCAAGTGTGCTCTACGCGGTAGCAGAGGCGATATTTAGCATAGAGGCATATCCCTACCTGGACACACAAAACAGATGTGATTATACTATTTTCACTTTAATAAAGATAAACATTAATAACATAATACAAACAAACAACATTTATTTCTTCCCATTCTTATTTCTTAGATATTATTGTAGGTATGTGTACACAGACAAGGCCTCTATCAACGCTGCAACAGCCACGGGTCTAATGTACACCTCCAGGAAATATGCCATAGATGCATTGTACAATCTCTGTGTAACGTTCCTGGAAAAGTCCCTGTCAGAAGACAATGTCTGTCAGATCCTTGAGCAGTGTCATGGCTATGGGGAGCTGGACTTGGAACAAAAGGCCTTGGAGATCCTGACTCGAGGAGGCAAGAGAGTCATCCAATCTCACGGGTTTTTGAAGCTTTGTGCTGAGTGTGTGGCTAAGTTTGTGAGGTCAGATAATTTGGATTTTAAAGAGGAAGACATCTTTGAAGCAGTTCTGTCCTGGACAAAAGGAAGATGCAAACAGGAAGGTGTCAATGACACGCCTGAGAACAGACAGAGTTTCCTTGGGGATATAAAGTATGAGATCCGGTTTACCAGCATGCCCTTAGAGTATCTGGTGAAGGATGTAGGCCGATCTGGTGTGCTGACAGACAGTGAGAGAATACGAATAATGGACAGAGCAGTAGACACAACTGTTGACATATCGCCATTTAAACATTCACAGAGAAAAACCGTAAGTACTATAGAAAGGAAACCGAAGGCATCCAGTGTGTATAGGTATGTGTCTTATCGCAATTTATTGATACCAGCTGGGTCCAATGCTATCTCTTTCTCGCCTAGCAAGAGCATATCCCTGCAAGGGTGTCAGTTGTATGGTGGATATGATGATGCTGAGTATAAACTGAATATCACTTTTTATGACCTTGATAAAGTGGTGTTTTTTGAACGGATGAACACGATGATGCTTCAGGGCAGTAGACAGCTGAATGAAGTCCTGTTTCCAAGGCCTTTTCCCCTAACAGCAGGTGCGACCTATACTCTGTGTGTGGACATGGAGGGACCCGACACTGTCTGTGGAGAGGAAGGAAAGGATACAGTAACAGTGGATGGAGTAAAGTTCACATTTAAAGACTGTCTAATGCAACGCACAATCACATCAACACGTCGAGGACAGATACCTGGTTTGATGTTCAATCACTCGTCATAGGGAGTACTCGTATATCAGGTGTGGCTTGCTGACCACTTTGACACTGTGGCATAATTTGATATTGTGAAAACCATATAATTAGAGGATAACCCACGAGATACTGGTGATTACGGAAAATATGGCCCGAGTGAAATTAACGTTCTCAGTTCCGAGCTTTAGCGAGGAACTGAGAACGTTAATTTCCGAGTGAAATTAACGTTCTCATTAACGTTAATTTCCGAGTGAAATTAACGTTCTCAGTTCCGAGCTTTAGCGAGGAACTGAGAACGTTAATTTCACGAGGGCCATATTTTCCGTAATAACCGTATCGAATGGGTTATTCTAATTATTACCCATACTCAATTTTGATGATTTTGTGAAAACCATATAATTAGAGGATAACCCACGAGATACTGGTGATTACGGAAAATATGGCCCGAGTGAAATTAACGTTCTCAGTTCCGAGCTTTAGCGAGATGGGAACAGATGGGAATGTCATACAAGAAGAATCAAGTCAGTCGCAGTGCGAGATGTTTGACCTAGATCTCGACCGAAGTTTCAAAGAGCGCATGGCTGAACTGGGAGCAGGATGTTTACATCTATCATCGATTCTATGCAGAATCTGTCTGGATGTATGATAACCTGGGACTAATCGGAATCAGAATCGGAATGAATGACGTTAATTCTTCGTCGTTCTTGACTTGGTTGTCTGACCGTAGCCCCAGTGTCATTTGGGGAAATTGTAATGTTAAATACCCCACCATAGATCGGCCCAGCGAAAAGTGTGTGAACTGCTTCACATTTCGTGTCATGTGAAACTCGGTTCTGTTGTGATGTACTTAGTGACACATGGTGGGCTTGTGGCATGTCGTGAGATCTATCAACATGTGATTTAAGAACTTGGGGATTTCTCATGGCTACAGTGGAGTTTGAGGTGCTGGAATGTGCAAGGATGTTGTTAATATTGTGATGCTGGTGCTCATTTATTTTGGAGTAATGATTGATGGACTGGATGTTTTTGTGACCAAACACCTGCATGATCTGATGTGCGGGAACGCCATTGTCAGAGAGAGTTTGAATCATCCTTTTCCTTGCACTGTGATTTGTTAAACGTTTATCAGCTGACAACCCTGCCCTGACGGCCATCCTTTTCATTATGGAACCCAGTTTATTACGACCAACAGGCTGGCGTTTAAACCACGTGTCTCCAGATTTGACCCCAAATTGTGTGTTGGTTGCAAGGTAAAAGGGGTGATCATTATCACAGTAATTTGCGGGTCTCAGATCACGGTACCGTTTATAGACAGCTACCGGACAGCACAAATCACCAGGTTGTGCCCATGCCTTAGGGGCAACGTCACGTGCCCCCTCAGCCTGACGTGTTTTCGATTGTCTCTCAATATACTGCAGATACTCATTGTTTTCAGTATCTTTTTTTGAGAATGACATCGCCCCATTGCATGCGCCTGTGAGGGGTGGCAGAACGCAGACCAAAGTAGATGGTGTTGTTCCACCATAACGTGTTTAAGATTGCATCAGATGTACTTGTGCCAAGTTGTCCAGATTCACGGAGTTTATTTAGTTCAAGATCTGACACGGGATCGGCCCGCTGGGGTAAGTTGCCTTTACCTTGCTTTTTCAGGGATTTATGTTTAGATCTTAAAACTTCTCGAAGTTTAATGAAATGCACGGAGTCTGACAACGAGTGTTTATAGTCATGTCTCTTCAGATAATGCTCAACACTGGCCTTTATCCCTTTTTTTGTCGATGGTTCGTATTCTGTTCCATCCGACTTTTTGGCGGATATGAAAAACCTGCACAAGAGAATATTGAGTTCACTGGGTGGGATTTCTTCAACTTTCCTTGTTTCTTGAAAACTTTGCTAAAAAAAACTGTGAACAAACTTCATGTCAAGTTTTGTTTTCTTCATGGTATTTTCATTTTCATTACTTGCCAAAAAGTCAATATCAATTTCCTTTATTGCAAAGTTTGTAGAATTGTTTTGTGTGGGGGGATCGAAAAAGTCATCACTCATTAAGTCATCCACGACTGCTTGGGGTAGGCCAAAGGACGGACTTGACGGACGTGACGGTGGTGCATTTGACACAGTTTCGGGTAGTAATCTCAATCGGAATCGGAGAACTTGCATTTCGCCAAACATAGTCTTCACCACATAGACATTGAAGGTATTAAGTGGTTGAACTATCTGTATTACACGTCCAGTGAGATCGCCATCAACTTTGACCAGGTCACTGACCTTTATCGGTGTCAAGTGGGCAGCCATGTTTGTTTACAAACAGAACAGACGTATCAAAGTTGTGCACCGAAATTTGATCGATTGTTAAATGATTGTGCATTAAAGAGATGTTACAGTAATACAATATTGGTACTTCGTTTTTATTTGGAAAAAAATACTGTATATTGTTCTAGTCAAAGTCACGCATTTGCGAGAACGACATCAGCATATAATTCATGAATGAAAGCACGTGAATGAAATGTGAAAGCTCAAAAGTAGATCCGGCAAGCAGTGTCAGTCCAATGAAATAGCGTAGACATTTAACCAGCCAATGAACACCGAGAATCACCAAAATGCACATGTGCAAATATCCAAAAGTTAATACACTAGTTCTTCCTGCCCGTATGGGTAATAATCTTGAAATATTGAAAGGTATAATCTCATTAAATGCGGAAGTTGCATAATAAAATTGCAGTTTTCCAAGGTGTTCGAAGGTACGATATTAACTGTTCAATGTAACTACTGCGTGTTTCATGTGCATTGGATATCATGGACCTGGCTGCAGCCGTTGGTGTCAGCATTGCAGAACCTTAACAGTATACAATCGAGTATGCTCTTTCTACGACTATTTTAAAGAACGTCATATGACTCTTGCTCAGCAGCAGCATTCAAGGCCTTAATATTACTTTTATGGTAGAAAAGTCATGTTGAGGAAATTTCCAAATTTGACGTGTCAGTGAAAAACATGATTTCCGGTAGGCTATTTTGCACTATATGGTCCCTTGTTTGTTCAGGTGAACGCTTGACATGCCCCCATCATGGTTATACCGTCACCACTCCTATTAGCAAGTGGTATGTGCTTCTGAGAGGAGGTTTGTGAGTTTGACAAATAAAATATCGAGAGAAGTATCAATGATACATCAATATGCAGGTCCATATTTCTTGACGACTCAGCATGTGATGTGTTCCACCAGTGGGGCCGGATACGCTCTCTATTTCACGAACACCTGGTATCAGCACTATTTAATTTTCTCACAAGAACAGCGGATCCTGATTCTACAAATATCGATGACATAATGACCTACAACTGGTACACAACTGCTCTGACGTGTGTTCATAACTCCTCACATCTCATTTGATAGATAACAGTTTTCGACTGTCACGTTGTGATTTCTGTGGTTTAGTGGGTACTGATAGTCAACAAATCCAAAACAAAGAAGCTATTGTGTGGTTGGCCACTAATACAAAGCCGGGCACTCACGATTGGTCACCCTACACCATCAGCAGTTTATTGGTTATGAATAACGAAGATTTCAGGCTGAGCTTTGACACACTGATGAAAGTGAGAGCACTGAACATTGGGATTCAAACCTTCTGAAACTGTCTAAAATCTTTCTGTGAAATTCTCAGTCTTCAAGAAACAAGGCCCTGGATATCGCAGACTGTATCACTCATAATGCTCTCGATATTTTGTTCATGAAAGATGAAAGCCTAAATAACAGCAAATAAAGTTACACTCCCTGAAGCACATACCAAGGACTTATGGAAATGGTGGTGGCATAACAATGACTTACATGATCTAATCTCTGTAACACAAGAGTTTTGTTAAATGATGAATTTAATCATCTCTGTCTCAAACTTGTCCTTAAGGTCTGTACAGACGTCTGGTATCGAAAAGGAAGACATTTTACCCGTTGGTGATTTCAATGAACATTATGATACGATTGGAAAGAGGTGAAGAAATTGATAAAATTCATTGACCCCGTGGGGTTAATCCAACACGTGAATGAATCCACACAAAAGTCTTTTTAAATGTGCATTGACGAGATATGAGAGTAATGTTAAAGAAGACAATGATCACCATATCTTGAAAATGGCATTCTCGATGTCAAAACAAACAAATCATTTATGCCAAGACATCAAAAACACAGATACTGTGTAATTCACCAAGGGATGTGGATGCTCTATGTCGTTGTATGAAAATACCTTGATACAACTCTTGGATAAACATGCACCGACTGTAACAAAACAAGCCTCAGAGGCCAAATGTTCTCCAATACCCAAACGTTACACTGATAAACAAGTCGTATGCTCGTGTGTGCATGGAGCCAAGTGCGAACTCGTATATTTAGGTTTGAACGCGAGAATGAAAGGTGAGAGCAAGCGGATACATTGTAGATTGTGCGAATGTGAGGCAGAAAGTCCTTGTCAATGCAATGGTATATAAAGAGTTCGTCCCTCAAATCAGTGTGGGTCGTGCACTCGAGGGTGAGAACACCAGACCACCATTACATGTACATGTTGGGCCAAGATCGGGCGTAAGTAGTTCATATTTAATCATATTCATGTATAATAGGATTGTTTAGTTTATTAATATGTTCCATGGATAGTAAATTATTAAACTTTGTTGTTGCGTCTAGTGCATATTGTAAATGTAAATAAAGAGTAAAATGGTAACAAAGTGTTTTTGTATTTTTGTGGTAGTAATGGAATATATATACCCACATATGTATATACCGAATATTTAGACATGTTCTGAATATTGTGAGTAGTAGTGCTGGACACCCAGCTACTCGGGTACCGTCCTTTCAGTGTTAATGTCATGCAGGCGTGACCTTTAGTCCTACCCTGGGAACAAGATGATACACACCAAGATACGTTGCGGGAGACCGTCTGATGGAAGACAGACATGAGCTGCCAAGACGTTAATGCGTCCAGTATAGACGTGACTCCTGTGTTGTATCAGAGTGCAGTGAGTAAATGCAGTATTCACTGATGCTGTATCTCCACATCCTTTAATATGAACTATTGTCATCAGAGGCAATACATTGACTAAGGTCACTCTAACGTGCTCATTGTTTGTCGTGGAAGACAAATTTACAAATGACTATCTATTGTCATCATCATTCATACTGTGTCATGAAAGGCCAGAATTATATGTTGTCATTGGACAATTCCCTTATACATGTCTGTGTAGACATTTTTTTTGTTTTTGATGATGATATTTTAATGTGACATGTGACATCTTTTATACCTGAACCTTTTTGATTGTATTGTGTGTGTATATATTAGGTTAATATTAGTATTAGCCAGTATTAGTATTAGTTTAGTATTATAGTATTAGTATTAGTATTAGTAGTAATATTGTCAGATAATTGGTAAGAAGTTCGTAGGAATTATGTAAATAGTTTTTGTTTTCTCTTATATAATAATAAATTTTTTTTTTTTTTGCTTTGAGGGTTCTGTCATTTATAATTCTCCTAGAGCATATTCTGTGACAAACATATTTAACAGTGGAACACGCTGTGCGACACACATATGAAGCTCCACATTGCGTTGTAAGCTAAATCAAATAACTGATTGTAAGTGATGTTTCATGCGACCTTGTCCTATAAATAACACGGAATTTTGATTGTCTGTAAGCCATTTCACCCGTTGGTGATCCTGGGTTGCAGCAAGACAATGTAGTACCATATCTCAATTATTCTGATCTATTTATCGGCTAAGATAATCTGCTTCCTGATACTAATATCGAGAAATCCACTTGAAATGAAGCTCCACATTGCGTTGTAAGCTAAATCAAATAACTGATTGTAAGTGATGTTTCATGCGACCTTGTCCTATAAATAACACGTCATATTGATTGTCTGTAAGCCATTTCACCCGTTGGTGATCCTGGGTTGCAGCGAGACAATGTAGTACCATATGTACCACATTCAGCTCTCTCCGAGTCGAACTCGAGCTATCTCCCCCTTTGATTACTGTCCATGAGAAGCTACACAGCCCACGTCTACACAATAACCTGCATAGCCACTGTCACTGGCATTGGAATAAACTACTTTCTTGGTACATGCTGTCTGAACAAATGATCTATAAGTATACTGCTTTACATTGTCTGACCAGAACTCATATCTGACAACAGGATCTTCCTGTACCATGTAACTGACATACTAATATCCATACTTAAGGATCTTATCATTAGTAGAGTGTGCACGGTTGGCCCAGTCGTCTGAGACGCCGCGATTCGCTGTGCAGAGTTGCGTCCCCTTGGCACGCCAGAAACCTATGATTGTAGGTTCGAATCCCGGGTCGCCCCGATTATGTTTCTAGGTTTGTCAGCACCATGCCCGTGCTCGTGGGTTTCACCAAAGTGGTAAACGTCTGAGACCTGCATCACTTCAGGCTTTCCTCTCACATTAAGCTGACACGCTGTGAACAAACTGGAATACTGTTAAAAAGCGGCGTTAAACCCAACTCACTCACTCTTATTATTTGTTGTATTTTAGACCCAAGCACTAATTTCATGGAAATGTACTGACCAACAACAGAAACCACTGATTAGTATCTAACAGGTATGTGCCTACATTTGGAATCAAACAGGTGAAGGGTGGCTTCTTCAACCTTATCCACCTTTCTTGTAGGTACAGTAACTGTCATGGGGGTTGTGTCCACTAGCCACTTCAATACCTGTGTCGAAGTCAATAGCATGATAGCAAGTGAAGGACTCATAAAATATATATAAATATATGACATGCGGAAGTGTCAACACGAAACTAGGATTACAGGTATCCAACAGGTGAAGAGGTTTCTCTCGCTCTCCGTGTTCAAACCATCTGTACCAGCCCAGGTAAGGGGTTTGTTTGTTTCTTGTTCAATGCCGCACTCAGCAATATTCCAGCTATATAACGGCTGTCTGTAAATATTCGAGTCTGGACAAGACAATCCAGCTAGTGACACCATGAATATCGATCCACGCAATTGGGATACAATAACATGCATCAACCAAGTCAGCGAGGTTGACCACCCGATCCCGTTAGTCGCCTGGTAAGGTGTACACTGTTCACACAGCAGCACTGAACGGTGAATTGTCTGGTGTACAGAGAGTGGTGCTATCGACCTGACTGAGTATATGTATCTGATATGTCAAGGGGTTGACACTGTTATTCCTGTTATATTCTAGTATGGATATAACTGTCGGTAGTGCAGGCTATCACACACATTGTAGCACATCTGTTGGCTATCACGTCAATAATGAAGTCACTATTTGAAACTAAAATCATGTTGATAGCCGTAATTAACGATGTGTACAAACTCTTCCGCGATAACATCAGTCTGTATTAGTCTTTACAGAGTTGTGTCCCTTTGATTATCTTGGTCAAGTTGTGCAGCTGCCTTCCGTTCAGTGTTATTGATAGAAACTCCGATATAACATTGATGTTATTGAGTCAAGCTCTCGAACTCCGATGTGTCGAATCCAGGGTGGTGTCAAAAATACAGTCCAGTCGTGGCAAGCTCGACCGGACTTACCACCATTTTGATCTGGACATGTCATACTAGTTGTGTTGCCTCGAAATAATTTGTGGGACCCAGAGTTAAAAATAAGTGAAACTTACCGTCATGAGTCGAACTGACAAATGTTTAAAAGTGCAACCTAAGTCGAGGTTGAATTTTCATGTGAATGTATAAATGTGGATGTGAAAAACGATTATGTTTGTATTCCTCAGTACAGACATGACATGTACCTTCATGTAACATGCATGGTATGGTACGTGTCTGCTTTAGGTTGTGTGGCCCAGTCGGATGTGTCGAATCCCGGATAATACAAACTATTTATCTGGTCCCCAGAATGGGAGACAACAGGTTAAACTGTAGTTACAGGTTGGTAGATCATTCAAAATGCCACAACCGCCAGTCACAAAACATATGCAAACAAACTAGGGTCGTCTGTTTGCTTGTTGTTTAACGCCGCACTCAGCAATATTCCAGCTATGTTAAGACGGTCTGTAAATGATCGTGTCTGCACCCGACAATCCAGTGATTAATATCATGAGTATCAATTCACGCAATTGGGATACGATGACATGCAGCAACCAAGTCAGCGAACCTGACCACCCGATCCCATTAGTCGCCTCTTACGACAAGCATAGTCACCTTTTACGACAAGCATGGGCTGCTGAAGATGTATTCTATCCCGGAATCTTCACGGGTAAGGGTTGGCTGTAAGGTTTGTTGTCATGTGGTTGTCCCCGATGTGATTGTGAAGCATGACTTTTATGGGCTACCGGAGATACTTGCAGATTTCGCTCAATATCAAGGGGTCAGTTCACCTCATTTCTAACATTGACCTTTGTATTTGTATGGACCTTTGTCGATGGTAATAAAAACAGGACATCTCACCTCAAAAGTCGTGAAGATGTGAGTGATATATATATGCATTTTGTTTTGTTTTTGTTTGATTACTCGGCTATATTGCAGCTATAGTTAGTTGCCTCTCACGACGAGCTGATGGCAATCTATATTCTTACCCGGAATCCCCACTGGTCTAACAGTAAAATTGTATCTTTAGTCTTTGGAGACAGGGTTGAGTTATATGGGTTTTAACCATTTATTGAAAGCTGGGCATGTGGATTTTAGAGATTTGATAAACATGCTATCTGGGCTGTACAATTCCTGTATATGCCCCTTCCGATAGTGCCATCCACTTTGAATAACATCCTTTTATATCTGGCTTTACCTTCAAGAGAGATTAATTTCATACTGTTCAACCGAATGACATTTCATTGTGAGATACCTAATACAGGTCAATCCTCAGTATGTGTAAACAGACATCTCTCTCAGGCTAATGCTACGAGAGCTATTTGTAAACAAACAATTTTGGCCCAGCAATGCCCCTATGTTATTTGGGGCGGTGGTGTAGCCTAGTGGTTAAAGCTTTCGTTAGTCCCGCCGAACACCAGGTTCGATTACTCAGATGGGTACAATGTGTGAAGCTTATTTCTGGTGTCCCCTGATGTGATATTGCTAAAATAATAATAAAAAAAGCAGCGTAACACCATACTCACTCACGTTATTGAAAACAATGAATTGTTAAGTGAACTCATTAATAGAACCTTTACACTGATTTAATGAGGGCTACTGTCTATATATTCTATATCATCTATATATTCTATAATATGTATGTATTTATGTCTTGTCTGTTCAAAGCTACAAGATCCCCGGACGCGTCATACCAAAAGATGTTAAAAGATGGTACTTGTTGTTACCCTGTCTCGCGCTCTGCATTAAGGGGCTAAAACAAGGACTGGTCGGCTCAGAGTCAGTATACTGTGTCTGAGTGGGGTATTCATGTTAAACTAAGGCATGGTATCTCAGTGAGCTAGCACTATAAATCCGCATTAGTCCGGACTAGTACAAGCAGCCACACAAACACACACATGTACATGCACGTCGCTATATAAGTGCAATAATCTTGGACGCGACGTTAAACCCAATTTCACCTCACCTCACCTATAATATGTATGTATTTATGTCTTGTCTGTTCAAAGCTACAAGATGTCCGATGAGAGCCCCAAATCTGGATTAGTCGACAACTGGCAGGCTGGGAAGACTGTCGCAGAGTGTAATTTCCACATGCTCGAAACAGAAGACTTCTGTGACGTCACCTTCCGTGTGGGATCAGAGAAACAGGTGGTCCGAGCACACCGCTACGTTCTTGTCAGTCGCAGCTGTGTCTTCCATGCCATGTTCTGTGGCCCCCTGGCGGAGACTGGGGAGGTAACCATCCCCGACATTGAGGCAGACATCTTCAAAGAGTTCTTAAGGTGAGATTAATCTAGCGGTTTTACAAATCATCCATTACCAAGAGAAAATTGCGCCTTCTGTAATCAATGCTTATTTTATACCTTCTTCTAACTAACTATTTACATGAGTAATTGCTCTTTTGATACCCGAGCCACATTAAATATGTTGCTATTTCCCCTCGAGTGTTTCCATTTTTGGTCCTTTTTTTACAATACTTGTATGTAGTTAACAAACTTAAATAGTAATAAATACCACAAAGTAAGTTTAATTAGACAATTAGGTTAATGTGTTCCTAGCAGTCAGCTTAAGCAATTTTTTAATAGTGATGGTAAATCATGTCATTTGAGGTCTACCCCACTATGAGTGGGTGCCACCTACAATAAAATATAGCATGGAAAGGTATTTGTTTTTACTCGGTACAGGTACACTATACACTCTCTCCATGTTACATCTCACAGCGTTGTAGTGGGTTTCACTTATTGTGTCCAACGTCTTTAAGGTAAGATTAACTTAGCGGTAGATAAATTAATACACAAATTAAGATAACACCTTATGTATTCTTTATCTGCTTTTATATGTTTTGTAAATGCTCAGAAGATCATAAACTCATTTTTTTATTTTTCCTGTCCTTTTTCTTACATGTTACTGTACCTTTAGGTATGTGTACACAGACCAGGCCACTATCGACGCTGAAACAGTCACAGGACTAAAGTACACCTCCAGGAAATATTCTCTAGATGCATTGTATAAACTGTGTGAAACGTTCCTAGAAAAGTCCCTGTCAGAAGACAATGTCTGTCAGATCCTGGAGGAGTGTCATTGTTACGGGGAGCTGGACGTGGAACAGAAGGCCCTGGAGATTCTTACTCAAGGAGGGAAGGAAGTCATCCAATCTCCCGGCTTTGTGAAACTTTGCTCTGATTGTATGAATAAGTTTGTTAGGTCAGATGGTTTATATTTGAAAGAGGAAGACGTATTTGACGCAGTGCTGTCCTGGACAAAGGAAAGATGCCGGGAGGAAGGTGGGATTGACACGCCTGAGAACATACGGAGACTCCTGGGAGAGATGAGGTATGAGATCCGGTTTACAAGCATCTCCCTGGAGTATCTGGTGAAGGTTGTCGGGAGATCTGGCGTGCTGACAGGGGATGAGCGAATACGAATAATGGACAGAACCATAGACACAACTGTTGACATATCTCCATATAAACATTCACAGAGAAATATTATCGGCTTGAAACGGAAGGCATCCTGTAAAAGAGTGGAGTGGTTTAACGCAATTGGGTTTAGTTGCAACACAGGTAAAATCTCTACTGAGATAAGTACAATCTCCTTCTCACCTAGTCGTAGCATTCTCCTCCTGGGGTGTCCTCTGTATGGTGCATTTGCTGTAGATGCAGAGTATACACTGACAATCAGAGTGTATGACGCCAATAACGGGGTGATTGATGAACCGTTCGTGAAGACAAGGATGACGCTTCAAGGCAGTAAAGTGTTGAATGACGTCCTGTTTCCCAGGTTTATTTCCCTCACAGCAGGTGCGACCTACACTGTGTACGTTGACATGAAGGGTGTAAGCCACACTGCCACTGGTAGGGAAAGAAATGCTACAGTAACAGAGGACGGGGTACATTTCACGTTTACAGACTCTCCAATGTCTACTACAGACACATCAACACAGAGAGGAAAGATACCTGGCTTGTTGTACAGTCTCCCGCTGCCATAGGCAGTACTGGTGTATCAGGTGTGTTTCGCTGACTGCTATGGCGATGATATATGATAATTTGATACCAAGCAAACCAGATCATCTTCCATATGATCATATTAACAGGTTTAATCCCATTAAATTCCATCTGACTATCAGTGACATCTGGCTTGAACTCACTGGTGATGTCGACTACATTATATCTGTGTAGTACAGAGAGTAAATCATCACTAAACCAATTCCCACCTATACAACATGGTTGTTAAGATTTGTAGATATAACCCGTAGGTCTATATGCCTTTGAGGCATCTTACATACTGACGTCAACAGCATAATGTATTGTGCGTGGTTGGATTGATGCCTGAAGCTGTAGTGCAAGTCTGTAGTGACGTAATGAAGGGTGAAGGTCGTTTTGGTTACTCACCGTTTGTAGGGCACGTGAAAACATAAATGCAAGTGTGCTTTGTTGTGTGTGTTGTTAATCATACTTCCTCTTGATATTGATCAGGACATTGCAGCTGAACTATGCTGTATCTAAGAGGTGGTTTTGTATTCAGTGGACCCGTGAAGAATAGGTCTTCAGCAACACATGCTTGTCGTAAGAGGCGACTAACGCATTCGGAAGGTCATGTCATTGTATCCCAATTACAGAATGATGCTCATGATATCAATCACTGGATTGTCTGGTCCTGACCCGATTATTTACAGACCGCCGTCATATAGCTATAATACCGCTAAGTGCGGCGTTAAACAAACAAAATTGTGTTCAGTGATAGATTACTTCTATTCTCTTCAAAAACAAACACTCGGACTGGTTCGTTGAAAGTCGTAGTGTTAAATCTATTGCAAGTGTGCTCAGTTTAACAACTACAGTCAATCCGATAAGCAATGTATATATTCGTCATGTTAGACATGAGTTGCAAAAGAGTTATTTATACCCAATGATCAAACATCCTTTTAATCAGCCCTCTGTTGCTATTCAAGACGAATGTGTACTTGTTTATTATAATCTCGTTAATGTTGCCTATACAATAAACTACGGTTATAGCGAACTCAAAGGGACCACAAATCCTAGTTCCTTATAACCGTAATTCGTTATAAGCATATATACAGCATATATACAGCAAATTGCAGGGACCTAAATACCAGTTCGTTATATCCGCCAATTCGTTATAAGCGTGTTCGTTATAACCGTAGTTTACTATATATGCATGTATGTGCTCTCTGTAGCATTACCATGTCACTTTCTTCATATCGGTGTCAAAGTCTACTGCGAGACATCGCTACAATTGTAATACAGAAGTTGGTCATCACTTTTACAGAATTTATATGAGTTTGTTCTTATTTCTTTAATGTTTTGTTTCTCAGATATTAGCTCAGTTCAATAAAGCGCAGATTGCAACCAAAATATGTGCATCTGATGCATTAATGTGTTGCCTAGCTACACGATCTGCTGCATCTTGTGCAAAGTCCGTCTATTATCTAGCCATCGTTGCCTAGCTACGCGATCTGGTAACATATTAAAAGTACATGGATCGTAGGACTTGTTGCCTAGCAAGAAGATCTGGTACTTATTAAGGTACATGTAAAGTGCATGGATCATCTAGTCTGTGTTGCCTAGCTACACGATCTGGTCCATGTTATGTAAAGTGCATGGATCATCTAGTCTGTTTTGCCTGGCTACACGATCTGGTACATGTTATGTAAAGTGCATGGATCATCTAGTCTGTTTTGCCTGGCTACACGATCTGGTCCATGTTATGTAAAGTTCATGGATCATCTCGTCTGTGTTGCCTAGCTACACGATCCGGTGCATGGTATGTAAAGTGCAAGGATCATCTAGTCTGTTTTGCCTGGCTACACGATCCGGTGCATGTTATGTAAAGTGCAAGGATCATCTCGTATGTGTTGCTTAGCTACACGATCTGGTCCATGTCATGTAAAGTGCATGGATCATCTAGTCAGTGTTGCCTAGCTACACGATCTGGTTCATGTAATGAAAAGTGCATAGATCATCTAGTCTGTGTTGCGTACCTACACAATGTGGTCCATGTTATGTAAAGTGCATGGATCATCTAGCCATCGTTGCCTTGCTACACGATCCGGTGCATGTTATGTAAAGTGCAAGGATCATCTAGTCTTTGTTGCCTAGCTACACGATCTGGTGCATGTTATGTAAAGTACATGGAGAACTAGTCTGTGTTGCCTAGCTTCACGATCTGGTGCATGGTATGTAATGTGCAAGGATCATCTAGTCTGTGTTGCCTAGCTACACGATCTGGTGCAAGGTTTGTAATGTACATGATTCATCAAGCAGCAGTAGACTAGGGATTGAATGGTAACAATGAATGTAATGCGTCGACACTATAAGCCAACAGTGACCAGTGCTGTCACCAGGACAGACTCCAATAGGGATCGGGTGGCCACAATGGACGTTTAAATGGTGTCGACAGCATGCTCCCACAGTGACCCATGCTTATCACCAGGACAGACTCAAGAGGGATCGCGTGGTCATTTTAACATCCATTATATTTAAATGGTGCTTGACTTTCTGGCCACTAGGAAGTGTCTGTAGTAACCTTGGTAACAGTGTGTGAGTGAGTCGGTGGTTGTAACCTTATCTTGGCAATGAACTCATAAAGGGGCAATATAAATGTGAAGGACAGTGTGTTGCGTAGAGGAAGCGTTAACATTAAGTGGGAGGATGAATTTTGAAAATTGACTTCTCCTGTCACGTAATCCATCATCTTTGACTTCGAATTGGGTTTATAGTCTAAACCGTTTAACAACCCGATACCTGTTTATAATATATTACAATTGCATACCGCTGTTCGCATACACAGAGCGCCATCCTCCATATTGCACCACTAAAGCCTAAACATAAAACAAAACAAAAACAGAACAGAAAATATAATAAGCCGAGAGTACAAAGTGTACAAAGAAAGGATGTGACACATTGTACCCATGTGGGGAATCGAACCCAGATATTTGGCAAGGACAACGAATACTGTAACTTAAAGGCTTCGTGACCCGTATCGGGAGATAGAGCATGACAAGAGTTGTCCCCTGTTATCATCACATGATACGCCCATATACAGATAGTGAATTACAGGTGACATCGATCACACACCTCTTTCGCGTTCACCGTTTTCCAAGGTGTTCCAAGGTAAGATATTAACTGTTCAAATGTAACTACGGTGTATTTCATGTGCAGTGGGTAACATAGACCTGGCCTCTCCATGTTGAACTCGATCTATCTCCTCTTTTGACCACTGTCCATGAGAAGCTACACAGCCCACGTCTACACAATAACCTGCATAGCCACTGTCACTGGCATTGGAATAAACTACTGAACAAGTGATCTAGATGTTTTCTGCTTTACCTTGTCTGACCAGTACAGAATCATACTCGTATCTGACAACACTATCTTGTTGATCCATGAACCTGACATACCAGTGTCCATACTAAAGGATCTTATCATTAGTTGTATTTTAGGCCCCGGCACTAATTTCATGGAAATTATTTGACCAACGACAGAAACCACATATCTAACATGTGTGCGCCTAAATTTGGAATGTAACAGGTGAAGTATGGTTCTATATACCGTTCTTGTAGGTACAATAACTGTCATGGAAGTTGTGTCCGGCCAAAAACCTAGCCACTCCAATACCTGTGAGGGAGGCTATGGTGACTTTTCTACCATTGGAACAAAACCCGGTAATAACAACTTGACTAACATGTCTCATCTTTTGAAGCTCCAGCCAAAATATGGTCTTTCAAAAAAGTAACTATCCTAAGTTTGGCCAAACAAAAGTCCGTATGAGAGGAGTAGATATGTGTATAATGATATGCAAGATGAATATCAAACGTTTAGGCCAATCACCATGACTGCTATAACGCAAGGCTGTTTTCCAAAATTTGTATTTCACACTGCTTTTGTAAACATATTTGTTTAATCTGGAAAGATTAAGAACTTTTGCAGCCAATTGCTATCAAACCCAATGCGATCTCTGGTGCACCTATCTGCTGGCTAAATTGTAAGTAACTTTTGAGACGACCTTGTACAATTGTTTCCGATCTACCTTGCTCGTACTCATAGTAGTCATCAGTAAGCGTAGTCACATTGATTGTACCATACTCAACTGACAGATCTTGACATGGCCTATTGGCCGACTTGACTTGAGGCCCCAATTTAACTCGCTGACATTCCCTGAGGGGCTGTACAGTTGACACATGGACATACCCATCTAAAATGTGTGAATCCGCCATATGCAAAATATGTTCCTGACCTTTGCCCCTTCCCACAAAAAACCCTGACCTGTGACAGGATGCATATGCTGCACAGGAGCAGTTAAATCAGCAAATTGCACGGATCGCTGATCCACGAGATGACCTACTTGTCGTGTAGAGGGCGTGTTCTGACGCAGCTTGCACTGGCAATGCGTTATCATCCTCTGAAGCATCAGCTTTATTGTTAGATAACTAGATGATCGTTATATTCTTGTACTCTTCGATGGGTGAACAAAAAGCCCAAGTCAGGCAATATCAACAAGATCTTGATGAAGTGTAAATATAGCAACCCATAAGCCAGCGTTACCCGATACATCTCACTCCATTTCAAGCTCCTCGGGTGATTTTTAATTCAAAAGAAATTTGTCAAGTGATTTTGGAGTCCAAATAAACTTATTGTGAGGGTTTCTGATCCATACAGAGTTCACTTTTGTTAATTTAGACATTTTCCTGTCAGCGATTACCAATGTCATCAGAACCAAAGCCTATCAACTATTCCTACATGCTTCAAGACAACTGTTGTAAAACCTCCCATTGAGAAGGCAGGTGAGAGTAGCAGTGAGTTAGCTGAGTATGGCCCTGTTTCAAATCTACCCTTCCTCTTCAATTATTCTTGAAAAATGTGTTAAACTCAGGATTACACAACATTTCAGCATGGAACTGGACAAAGTACTTCTCGGCAATCTAAATGACTTACTGACAAAGATCATATAAAAGATATGTCATGGCGTTACATTCCACCTTATTTATAATAAAATATATAGATTAAGCTCAATCGTTATGTACACTACGTTACAAGTGCAGGGAGTAAATCAATGTGAAACCAATTGACATTTCTCTCACATCATTGTTTGTACAACCCTGAGCACATGTGGTAACATCCACCATTCCAATAATTCATGTTGTTCAAGAAGAAAGACCAGAACATGAAGTATATCGACATTCTGTTCCAGAGTGAGTGAGTGAGTGTGTATGGTTTCACGCCGCTATTAGCAATATTCCAACAATATCACGGCGGGTGGCGAGGTAAAGGAACAAATCGAAGGGGTCTTGAAATGATTCTTGTTTATTCAAGTCTGAAGCAGTGAAGACACAAGAATGATAAATTAACGTCCTGTCCATACAGCGCCGAATAAGGCGTACTTATCTGCTACATACATGTATGAATAAACGCTAACTGTAATGAGTCATCAACAATACTGATTTACATCAGCTGTAACTTACAAATTTTCCCCTTCATCAGCAAAGCAAACCGGCCTTATGCCCACCACGCAAGGA